TGAGCTCAAGCAATCCATCTACCTCAGCCTCCCAAAGTGCTGAGCTTACAAGCCTGAATCACCACATCTGGCCTTTGTTCACTTCTTTATCCCCAGGACTTAAAATATGCTCTGCAATCAATAAATATTTGTTAAATAAATGAATTTTTAAACATCCTGTCATCTAACCCTATTTGCTTCTACATATCAGTTCACCTATGTCAGGGGAAGCCTCAAAATTTGAAGATCTTGACCAGGTGCGGTGGTTCATGCTTGTAATCCCAGCACATTGGGAGGCTGAGGCGTGTGGATCACCTAAGGTCAGGAGTTCCAGACTAGCCTGACCAACATGGTGAAACCCTGTCTCTACTAAAAATACAAAATTAGCCAGGCGAGGTGGCGCATGCCTGTTGAACTTCTTTGTTCAACAAGAAATGAACAAAAGCCAGATGTGGTGAGTCAGGCCTATAATCCCAGCTACTTAGGAGACTGAGGCAGGAGAATCACTTGAACCCAGGAGGTAGAGGTTGCAGTGAGCCAAGATCGCACCATTGCACTCCAGCTTGGGCAACAAGAGCAAAAAAAAAAAAAAAAAAAAGAAAAAAGATTTAAAAATCTTCACCCAGAAAAAAAGAATTATTGAGGAGAGAAAGATAAGGCACACATGTCTCACCGAAATATAATAGTTCCTGGTCATCAATGTATGGTTTCAATCTCCTTTCAGGACTTTTTAAAATGAATTTCTCTTTTAAAATGAATTCTGTTTCACTGAAGATGCAATTTTCTCTCTTTCAGTAGTCTGTTGCAGGGTAGGTAGGAATGGCAACCAGAGATAGAGAACCCTCCAATTCAATTGCCAACTTAATTTTGTAATTCTCCCAAACTTCTATTAGCAGGATCTATCACTCTCTCTTTTTTAAACTGAGTCCAATTCTATTTCTAAAACCCATCCTCCAGGGCCAGGTCAAGACTCACAGGTTTCCTTGGAAGGCTAATTATTTGGGATAGCACTTCAAACTGTAATTCTTCAAAGATATCTTCAACAAGCACAGAGAAATTGATTTTCCACCAGCAAAATTTATTTACTTCCTAGATTATGTTCTAAATAAAAATATTATTACATGTTCTGCACATAATAAACGTTTTGACTTCTTTAGAAACACCGTTCACAATTTACTCCACCTGGATAATTAGATACTCACCCTCACTCAGAATGGAGGCAGATTTCATAGAGTCGTGGCAGTAAAAATTTGTTCAAAGGGTATTTTAAAGTTCTTTGTCTGTATCGGCAATACATTTCTCCTTTTCTATACTTCCTTTTCATTTTTTTTGGTGATTTTGTTTTTCAAGTCAACATGTTGAGAAATATATCAAAGGTTTAAATTTTAGACACAAAATACATGGCTTATTTTCCCAAAACAACGTTATGCCTTGTACGTTTTCAGATTTGGAATTTGAGTGCACTGACGGCTGGCTTAACACACATATTAACCAACTGCTTTAAAGGTTGGAAATGTGTCTGGGGTTGCACCATGCAAACTCCCTATGCTGCACTCCAAATAAAATCAAGAAAGAAAGCCAGTGCCAGTGCAGACTAATCTTCACATTTCCAAGCATTAGGAATTTTGACTTACATTTTGCCACTTACACAGACATCACAATTGAAAACAATGTTTCAAATTAATTCCAAAGACGTTCAGAACTCTTATTAGGCTGATATACCTGGAGGTAAAATTTTTCCTTCCACTCTGTCTTTATCCATATGCCAACATTTCGTTTTGTGAGGAAAATTTGCTTTCATAATTCTCCAACTTGTTTTTCTTGTTCGGGGTTCTCAGTGAAGTCCACGGCTCTTTCCCGCCACCTCCATGCTCCCACCAGCCTAGACCCCCGTCTAGCCACTGGCTTTGCCTTGCTGATCTCTGAGTTACCAACCACCTGCTAATACTAGGGAGGCCCTGACATAATCGCAGAGACTGAGGAAGTCAAGTGCATTGGATCTCTTCTGCTTCCTAAACACCTAGGCACCTGCACTGCTGGAGTGTTTCGCTAACAACATCCACCCACCAGGCAGCGCCCCTCCACTAGCAGTGCTGTCTGATGGCCTTTTACAGTTCTCCCTGGCCAAGCCTGTAGTTCAAATAGTTTGAGCACTCCTTAACACTATGCTCTTTACAATGGAAAAAGAAGACCATTTATTGAAGGCATGGACAAAAAGAAACAGATAATACCCCTCAGCTAAAATTTGTCATAGATTGCAGCATTTTTGCCCTTGGGAAGGATATGGCTTGCAGTGAGAGGGACTTTACTGCCACCTCCTGGATCACGGCTTGTCAGCACAAGGCAGTCCTAGGCAGAGCCAAGGGAGTAGGGTGTCATCCCAGAGAAATGGATGTCAGGTCAACGGCGCAATCCCAGAGCTCAGATCTTTCATAACTTTCCTTAAATAATTCCTGTCCATCCAAGCAGAACTGGCTTCTCTTTCATCCCTCTGCCCCAGGAGGGAGACTTGCTAATCTCTCATTGACTTATTTCCTCCCAAAACCCAGTTAAAAAAAAAGGGGGACCTTACTATCTTACTTAAGACAAGTGTAATTTAAAAATACATTCTGGCCGGACGCAATGGCTCACACCTGTAATCCCAGCACTTTGGGAGGTTGTGACCAGCCTGGCAAACATGGCAAAACCCTGTCTCTACTAAAAATACAAAAATTAGCCCGGCGTGGTGGTGCACGCCTGTAATCCCAGCTACTCCAGAGGCTGAGGCAGAAGAATTGCTTGCACCTGGGAGGCGGAGGTTGCAGCGAGCCAAGACTGCACCACTTCACTCCAGCCTAGGCAACAGTATGAGACTCCATCTCAAAAAAACAAACAAAAAAACAAAAACAGATTCTTGT